CACACTGTTTCAGGAGTGGAATAACCCCATTTACAATCAACTGCAAACTCTGGTATAGAACGCCCACCATCCAATTAATTCCCAATGGACGGAATCAAGTCCCTTCCTACATTTTTTGAATACACACTGAACATCCTGTTCCACCCTGAATGTTACATTACAGAAGTAAAATAGGTCAAAAATGTCATTTCATGTTGATAATAACAATTTATATATTAAATTACTTATTTACAAAACAGGCAGATTTCATTGAAAAGGCAATGTCTTCATTTAAACAACGGTCTTTTACATAACAGCTCCATTTACACAACAGATCAACCGTTGGATAAAAAAAAAAAAAAAAGAAATTTCCAGTTCCTTAGGCTCAGAAAATGTATCAGATTATTAAGATAGTGTCAAAAGAGTAAAACTCTGTTGTGGTGGTCTTACAGTGCAGGGAGTATAATGCTGTTGGACATATCCTACAAGTGTAACTATTTGAGTAAGCGGGAAGGTAAGTGTGTGTGTGTGTGTGTGTGTGTATGCGTGTATGTTGACTGTGTGGGAGGCCGGCGAGTTGCACTTAAGTGAAACTGTGGTGGAATTGTTTCAGTATGTGTGTGTGTGTGTTAGTCAAAACTCAGCTGATGAGAGAACGTATGTGGGAGTGTGCTTGGGTGTCCCAGGTTTGATGAAGCTTGAGTTAGTATGTGTGTGTGTGTGTGTGTGTGTGTTTAAACTGTTTCTCTATGTATTGTGGTCGTGAGTGGGAGTCTGTATGGAGAGAAGTCTCTCCGCATGCTCTAGGATTTCAGCAATCTTCCTCTTCACTGCTTCTCTCCTCTTCAAATCTACATCTCCTAGCGAGAGAGAATGAGTAATAGAAAGAGAAGAGAAAAAGGGTAGAACAAAGGGATGTTGTGAGGTTTAGTTTCCTCCTACCATTTAAATATTTTGCATTGCATCCAAATAGAGCTCATTTCCTGCTTTGAGGAAACAAACATTGCATGTTAATGTCCTTGTGTTGAGAGATACTCTGCTCTTTCCTCTCAAATAATTTAATCATGCCAGGGTCATCCTGACCACAGCAAATTGACATTTGGCTGATTTAGGATCTGTAATCTGCATATGGGGCCAGTTTTTCGTTTTTATTTAGATGGAAAACAAAAAGAGGAAAAAACCTACAATTTTCATTGAAACAGCAATGTTTTGGTCATGCAATTTATTAAAACACTGCGGTGTTATTAAATATTGGAGTTCTAACAAGCTACGACAGTGTACAGGATTCATGATTCTCTCTTAATACTATTTTCCAACACATCTGCCTGCAACCATTCAGGTGAGTGAGGGGTGTTTATTTTTTTAATAATAGGTAAAATGTCATCCAGTTGTAAATTAATATACACTACCATTCAAAAGTTCAAAAGTCATTTTAAACTGTAATAATTTTTCACAATATTACATATATTTTTTTTTACTGTATTTTTGATCAAATAAATGCAGCGTTGATAAACATAATGATTATAGAAGTCTTCTTTTTGAAAAACGTTAAAGAATCTTACCGACCACAAAATTTTGAAGGGGAGTGTACCTATTTTGCATTTTAAACCTAATTTTGTGCACATTGTGACTTTCAGTTCATTATTAACACTGGAAATGAAAAGTGAAGTCAAGCACATGCATTGTGGGACACTATATTCCCTACAGTGTGCTTTGTTGAATACACATTGATAAATGTAGTATTTAGTATCAGGGTATTCCATGCATACAGACACAGTTTTCACAGTGTGCACAGTATATACATGCTATACTGCAGTTTGTTAGTCTATTATCAAGAACAGCATCCTTCTCTTACCTGGCACTCCTTTCATAAATATATCAACAGCCGTCCTATATCGTTGTACTGCTGCACTGTATTCGCCGTTCCTCTCTTCTTCCTGGGCGGCCTTCAGCTCTTCATTGGCCTGGTACATGTAGCTCACATCTCCAGCAGACTCAGTCCCATCTGGAACGGTTAGAGGAACGGACAGGAGTTCAGCGTGGCTGGGTGATCCATACAGTTGATCTGAAAGATTGGGTGATAAGAGTAAGGCTTGCATTAAAAACCTCTGAAAAACAATTATATGTAGAAATGACGAGTTAAACGGACTCATTTGACTTTATTTTAGACTTCTTTACCTTCTTTGGCACATGGGTCAAAAATAGCGAGGTCTGTATCTGAAAGGAGAGGCGGGGCCTTGTATGAATGTTCGTCCAATCCCGAGTCAAACAGTGAATCAAACTCCTCTGATTGGTCGACTGGAGAACCCGGAATTTCAAGCGAGGCATCTGGAAGATGAAAAACAGGAATAGAACAATCAGCTATGATGGAAATCAAATAAGACATTACAGGATTGATAACTGTAACAAACTAACGGGTTGTAGTGTCGGTAGCAGCAGCAGAGCATTGGTCTGTGCCGTTATTCTGATGTGTTGTGATGTCAGTCTCTCTCTCTTTTTCTGTCAGTCCTTGTATTTCCGTTTCGGTGTGTGTTTCTTGTGTGGGGCTGCTTTCCGTGTCACTGAGAGCCTCAACTGCCAACTCAGGTTGGGTTAGATCTGTCAGTCTTTGGTTGGACTCCAGCTCCTGAGCGTGGATAGGAGCCTCTCTCCCCGTCTCCTCTTCAGCCAGCAGCTCAGTGTTTCTCTCAGGCAGGGGAATAAGAGGAGGCGGAAGAGACGTAGAAATGGCAGCTGTCTCCATTGGTCTTTTCACTTCTGCTCCCTAAGACAAGAGAAATAAAAAACCAAAAAGATGAGCAGAAAATAAACATTCAGTCATTTATTCACCCTCATGTTGTTCCAAACCGGTATGACAATGGACAATGAGAAGCCAACAACAAGACACAAAATCAGAAGAATATAGGACACAGGTCAAATATGGACAACTTGTATATATAATGGTATACATGTATACCATTATATATTATATAATATATGATACAATATTTTATATATAATACAGAACTAATATATACATTTTTGTAACAATGTCAAAGTCTTTACTGTCACTTTAAATAAATTACAGCATCCTTCCTGAATGAAAATATTGATTTATTTTAAGAAAAAAATTAGAATCATACGGATCCCAAACGTTTAAATGGTAGCGTACAGATTTGATAGGAAAAAGTAAAATAGAATACATGATACAGTATAAATATATTTTCCAGAAGATTGGTCTTACTGGTCTCTTATTGGTCTTATGTCTTACCCTGAAGAAGTCTTTGAGTTGAGGGCTGTTGTACAGCGCAGGAATATTTGTAGTGAAGAGCAGTATGGCCTCAGCTGCGTTCCTCCTCTCTTCAATCACAGCCTCATCAAAACGCCCTGTGAGAGAGACACAGAGAAAGGAAGGCAGGACAGAAAATAGAGAGTGCGGTGGATGATATTAGAGAAATATAAACAAACACATACAGCATCAAGTCATAAAAAGTGAAATAAAACAAAGAAACAAACAGGTGAACTGGGTAATTTCTCTTTTGTTTACACATCATGTCTATTGACCTTACCGAAAACCTGTGCTCGTGGAAAAGAGGGAAACTCTTCTAGTCGTCTGAACAGGTTCCTATGAGTGTACGCCAGCTCTCCATGTAATTTCTTCAGCTCTGAGTACCTCTTCCACACCACAACCTGCCAATCAAACCAACAATGAGCCCAATGCAACTCTGATCCAACATGCACATGTACAAATACAAAAGGATGCTCATACCTCTTTAACATTCTCCGGCTGTGTCTTTGATACAAACTACAGAGAAAGATACAGATCAATTAAACCACACAGCACCAAAGGGAGAGGACTTGAAAGGGCTGATTGTAAGCATTAATGAGGAAGGGGGAGACTGGTGCATGAGACACTGAAGTCACGTGACCTCGTCCCAGATTCCTAAAATCACGAGTTTCACTGCAAACCAGATAAACAATGCCTACTAGTAAGTTATTAACCAACCTCTACGAGGATCAGTTAATCTGATTTATGCCTTTTGTATTTATGAAGTACATTTGATCAAAGTGTACAAAGCCGTTTACACGTAAATCATCTTGGTTATTTATTGGAATATTAATAAATTAGATACATAGTCCATTCAAAACACTCAGATATCTGAGCTCCAGACTCCATCAATAACTATACAGTATCTACAGTATTACTCCTCTCTGTGATAAGGAGATGAAACTTAAATATGATGATACAATAACGTTATATTATTGTGCTACTAACCCTTGCTGTTACTTTATATTCCGTGTGTCCTTTCTCGTGTGTGCGTGGATCTGTCACAGTGAAGAAGCGGTAATATTCCTCTGTTTTGGCCTTTCGAGACATCACTGTCACATAAATATGTTTAAATTTACATTCATGTAAATAAGGGGACAGAATCAAGCGCGGTGACTGGTACTGTGTTGGACTATTGACAGTTTGGAGCAGTTACTTCCTGCTTTGAGAGGAGCGCATGCGCAGACTGATAACAGCGCTACTTTACAATCCCTTCAAAATAAAAGTCATGATAGGTCAAAAGAGGATTTTTGTTTCTTCATTGAATGTGCTACTAAATGAGAGAGTTTGACCCAGTTGAGCATCAACAGCATGCAAAGAAGAGAAGTGAGAAACACATCCATGTGGGCGCCTATGTTTAGGGTATATTTGTATGGGTGTGTTCATAGAATGTTCAGAAAGGCCTACACATGTGAAATCAAGTCTTACAACATCTTTCTGCTTTGAGAGAATAAAAGAAATCTGTGAAAACTAAATCTATAAAAGTGCAATATATTAATATATCAAGTTAAATCAAACCATTGTGAGTCTGCCATTTAGTGACTTTCACTTTTCATGAAATGCTAATCCACACACACACAGTGTATCTTCATTTTTTCCCACATCAAATAAGATTTGTGATAACTGAAAATAATTTACAAATTACACACATTTTTATTTAATATTTATATATTTATAAGAGTTGTCTGCACCTTCCATATAGGCAATAGATATAATGCAGGCCTACCTCAAATTGCAGGTCAGAATATAACAAAAATTTTATTAAAAATAAAGCACAAACAATAAGATTAGATAGATAGATAGATAGATAGATGGATGGATGGATGGATGGATGGATGGATGGATGGATGGATGGATGGATGGATAGATGGATGGATGGATGGATGGATGGATGGATGGATGGATGGATGGATGGATGGATAGATGGATGGATGGATGGATGGATAGATAGATAGATAGATAGATAGATCGAAGGATGGATGGATGGATGGATGGATGGATAGATAGATAGATAGATAGATAGATAGATAGATAGATAGTCTGAGTAATTGCCCTCTGAGATCTCAAAGTCTTAGTTCATGTGGGTTCAATAAGGGGTGTGATTTAGATTATAATGTCACCCAGCTGCGAACATATCCGATATCAGCCACACACGAGTGTCAACTTTGATCGGCTAGACAGGATCTCTCTGTATATGCAATGCAGTCAAGCAAATCACCAGAGATGAAGGATGGTGTGAAATAATGACTAAGCAGACCAATTAACATTTGAGTCACTTCGCATCATTAATTCCACAGTCTAACGAGGACCTCATAGTGAGAACAAGACACAGAAATGCACGGCTCTCCAAATCACAAGTGACACCACACGCCTTACCAGAGCATAATAGCATCATCACCCTGTAATAATTAACATCCTAGCAGTTCATTAGTACCTCGCCACTGAAGTTAATAACATTTCACCTGTCAAACAGGAGTATATTTAAGTCCCAGATGATGCATTTTTCCATTATATATTATTGCAAATGACAGAATTGATAAGGCTTCTGATGCAAAAGTAACACCTCGGTGTGACCTTATCAAACATCTTTCCTACTGGGTTTGGGAGTCCCTCCTCACGCACAAACGTCTCTTCACACTTCACCCCTGCTCCTCTACACCCACACACCAACACCACCACCTCCACTGTCCTTCGTGGTTATGTTTTGACCAATAAGTGCTCTCTAATCGACCCCAGGATCCCACCTTTGGTGCCTATAAAAGCCTATACTCCTTAAACCCCTCTAAAAGGCAGTGTTTTACAGTGTTGAAAGGATGTTCTCTCCGTTACAGGTGTTTGTGGGGACTCTGTCCATGTCTCTGCTGCTTTGCAGCGTCAGTTCGGCACCAAGAGAAGACCTGCAGCTCCAGCTGCTCCAATCAGAAGTGGATCCCAAGGAGAATGAGGTAAGACAAACTTTTCTACAGAAATGTTTTTAACTTCAAAATGCCGTATTTGATTCAATGTGTTACTTGCCATTTCTTTGTAGTCATTTGTGAAAGTTACTAGCAAGTACTAGCAATTTTCACTTTGAGTGCAAATTGTTTCTGCATAATTTTTCAGTGTGCAATGAAAAAATGAATGTACACTGTAAAAAAGGTTATTGGAGTATGTTTTACAAGAAATTACTATTTTAGTTTTTCTACCTCAAAAGTTCTTGTATATTTCGGTGTTACTTGCCGTTTCTTTTTGAGTGAAAATTGTTTCAAAGCTTTTTTTTTTGGATTTTGCAACAATTTTCTTAGAAAAACTTTACAGTAAAATTGAAATGAACTAACATTAAGATTAATAAATGCTGTAACAAATGTATTGCTAATTTTTAATGTTAAATAATGAAAGGAATTTGTTGTAAAGTGTTGCTGTAAATTTCAACTGTTAGCTCAATTCCACTAAATAATTTTAACAGATGCAACTTGGATATTGAAAATAAGATTTAAGATCAATAAATACTTTAGAAGTATTCTTCACGTAGTGAAGTGTCTAATGAAGTCTAATGAAACCTTATTGTAAAATTTTGTAGAATTTACTGGCAATTTTGGAGTGAACATTTTAAAATCCTTTCAAAAAGGCTTTGAAACAATTTTCACTCAGAATTTGCTATTAATTAAATAATAATTACAAAGAAACAGCAAGTAGCAAATTGAATTAAACATAAAATTCTTAAGTAGAAAGACTGAAATAGTATAACAAATAACCTTTATTTACAACTTTTAAAAAAATAATTTTTTTACAGTGCAGTTTTGAAGATAATATCTGTGTGGATATGGAGAAAATAATAATATGTATATCTAAGAACTACAGCAAGTTCGAATTAGAATGCTTTCTTTTTGACAGCAAACGGTTTCTGAATCATCTTCTTTTCTCTCTTCAGCTTCAGGATCTCTCTCGTTTGCTTCTTCTGAAGCAGCTTTCTGAGTCAGTGGCACCTGAGGAGAAAGACGCTCTTGAAAGCATTGATGATCTTGAGGTTCGTAATGAAGTGGTTCGCCAGATTCCCTTTTCCCAACGAGAACGCAAAGCAGGCTGCAGGAATTTCTACTGGAAGACCTTCACCTCTTGTTAGTCAACCTGCAAGACCCTTACAAACACTGTTATACTTGTGTAGCCATCAAAATAACTTGATTAGAGGATTTCTGGTCCTGTGCATATAGCATGGATTGTAATAATCTATATGTTCTTCAGCTTCTTCTCTTTCTTATACCATCTGCATTAACCAAGATTGTTCCTTAAAAATCACCAGCACACACAGTAATACTATTCCAGTATAAAGAGAGATTAACTCTGACTTTTATGCAGTGTATGCTATAAAATGTTTGTATTATGGGTACTATCAGGATTGATGGCCAGAGATTATATGATTAACATTTAAAATCTTGATATAGCGGTTTTTGTGTTGACCTTGCAACAGTGTCATTGGATTGCTATAGTCCTCTGTAATAAAGTGTGATCAGGGAAAGTGCGTTTATGTGTGATTGGCTCTATGGGATGTAAGATAAACAGCAAGAACACACTAAAAACTTTTTTGTCCGTTTTTTCTTTCTTTCACATTCATCAAATCATAAATTGGAACAACGGTCAGTACAAACTAGATGTCAATAGACATTTGCAGTAAAAACAGATGGATTTATAAAGCTGATCTTTTTCTCCCCCTAAACTCAACATCAGGAAAATAAAATGCAAACTCATCCAAACGTGCCCTGAAATAAACTGGCAGCTTAAAAAGTAAATCAGCCATTGAAACAGACTTTGCAGTACCAGGGCACTTTATCAATTAGCAATCATCTGCAATGACAGGTTTAGAAAAAGTTTTTTGGCAGCAAATTGACCAGATGGACACTATGCTGGAATAATCTTACAAAATATTCCAGGCAAATCAATAAATAAAGCATGCAACCATCTGAACCACTTTATGCTTTTAGTTTCTAGATAATTTTAACTATTTGTCAGCGCAAAAACTAGCACTTAATTATGTTGCTTCAAACAATCAACACCTTATTTGAAACCTTTTCATATAATGGCATTAAGCAATGGATGCTTGCTGCTACACATCATTCAAATAACAGACAATTAAAAATGCATTTTGACACAAAATAAAGCAAATACAGAAAATGAGATGTAATAGAATAAAGCCAACCAGTAACAATCTCTGCACAAGAGTCAGATGTGTAACGATCTGAAAGTCATTTCTCTAGTACGTACTTTACCTCCTTGTAACCTTCATACTTGACCATTTACTGACTGTTAGACATTAATCGATGTATATTTAGTGACAAAATCGTGACTAAGTTTCTTGATGTGATGAGAAATGTTCTATTTCTATTAAGAAGCCATGATTTGTAATTCATCTAACCTACTAGATTCCGTTCCTTAACTGCTCTCTATTTCTTTCACTATTCAAACTCCTTGAAAATAATCCACCCTGCTGCCAAACCCAAACCGCTGAATGTAGCAAAAAACTGCAGCTACTCGGCTTTAAAATGAAATCAACCACTTTGATCCAACACACACCTGTCAAAAGATTTCCTTCATTGAAGCGGTCATTAAACAAACTGAGCCTTTATTCCTATCTGACAACACTTCTCTTGTAACAGTTTCTGAAATCAGCGTAAACGTAGAGCTAGAGACCGCACGGAAAACAGAACAAAACCGCTGCCTGTGTTAAACTTTTCCAACCGTTTTTACCAGAATTATCATTAGTATCATGACGAATGTAATGATAATAAACTAATATCAAGTCAGTAAACGAAATACAGTAATAACATCCTTCAACAATCATGATTTCAAGTATTAAAATAATGAGCACTGGATATCCACTGACATCAGGTTTTTGTTTTTGAGAGGATAAAAGAAAAGAGATGATCTGAATGGGGACAATATGAAGTGACCCCAACTGCCAGCAGAATTGGGGCATTATTTGAGGGAACTGTGACATGTTACTATATTTCCTTTAAAGGTTAATATTTAAGTGTTGTAAAAGTGACTGCTTCAAGGTAGAAATGCACCCTGTTCACGAGGCTCACATTTCGCATAAACACACATACGCTGAGGATTATACACAAACACCATCATATTTCATTCAACACCTGTTTTTCTATATTCTTGAGGAAACGGCTTTCCAGTGGAACTACTCTAAACACTAGAACTATTTTTTTCTCCTCGGCTCTATGCTACCCTGAGAAGGACGTCTTCATATTATTTGACTGCTTCAAGGTAGAAATGCACCCTGTTCACGAGGCTCACATTTCGCATAAACACACATACGCTGAGGATTATACACAAACACCATCATATTTCATTCAACACCTGTTTTTCTATATTCTTGAGGAAAAGGCTTTCCAGTGGAACTACTCTAAACACTAGAACTATTTTTTTCTCCTCGGCTCTATGCTACCCTGAGAGGGACGTCTTCATATTATTTGTGCGATCGACATGCAAAGTCAAGGATGGAAGAAATGCCAGGCGGTGGATGTTTAGATAGTGGTACATTCTGAAGTATAACTATGAAGAAGAGAAGGGTCACAGAGTGATGGGATGGGGGCATTAGCAGTCAGTGGAGATTTTGGCAGAAAGATCTTGGATGCGACGGGCACTGCAGCTCTTGCAGAGAATGTGTCCGTCCAGGGGATAGCAGCCTCTTCCCTCGCCCTCTGAAGAGAGGAGTAGACCACAATCCTGCAACACAAACCGTTTTCTTTAGCACTCATTTAGACCATTTCACTTATTATTATCCATTTACCTTATTTCATATTCAATATTCAAAATTTAATTTTAAAATGTAAATCTCATAGTATTATTCAATTGCAACTGAAGTGTAAATGCATTCATGTCACCTCTGAGCTGCATTTAACATTGTGCAAATACATCTAAATAAGATGCAGCTTTTTTATCAACTCTTTGTTGATGCTTTAAGGCAATACAATACAGACAAAAGTAAAACCATTGTTTTTAACTGACCAGGCACTGGTACATTTTTTTAAATTATTTTAGGCTATTTTGCTTCCATAACTTGAATTCTTTCAGAATGGTGGAAAGAAAACTTACACTTTATCTATTTGCGTCTGTACACTGTAAAAAAAATTCTGTAGTTTTTACAAAATAATTTTGGCAGCTGTGGTTGCCAGAATAATTTTGTAAAAAATACAGAAAAACTGTAAACACATTTACGGCCAAAAACTGCAAATTTTACAGTATAAAACTGTAATTTACAAACAAGAAAATTTGAATGTAAACCAGTAAATTCAACAATGCACACTGTATTAAAATCTGTTTTGTACCTTTAACATACTGACAACCACCATAATAATGCAGTTGGTAAAAGAGAAAGCCACATGAAGAATCAAAGCTCATCACGAGTAGCTTCGCCACAAGCAGAAGTATATACTAATATATAGAAGGTGCACAGAGTCATTCATGCAAACACAAAACACCATCATGGTAACACACATGATATTTAAATAATGCACTAAACTTTCATTAAACAACAGAAGATGTAACATAAAGCCCAAATATACATAACTAATAACAAAAACTATTAAAAAAAACATGATTATTTAAACAAAATACTTTCAAATCTGGAGTGTCATGCAGGGAATTCTGGGAATATCAGCTTACAGTTTTTGACTGTAAATTATACATTGATCTGCACAAAAGTGGAAACACTTCAGGAGTTTCGAAGTCGTCATCGGATTGGTTGAATTATACAGGATTTCCCGGGGACGTGTTTAACGTTCTTTACGTTCTTAACGATAGGTTCTTTAACGTTCCGCCTGGAAACAAAGATGCCGTGACGCCAAACCCCCTCACGAAAGAAAAAAGCCGTCGTGTTTACAACCGTGACGACGAGCGCTTATCAGGATCAACTAAACGCTGGATATTCAAAAGTATGTGAAATATTTAAAGTTTGCGGCATAGAACCTTTAAAATACGTCCGAGAGTTTTACACACCGGTCTCTTATTGTGGCGACATTTCCATGCCCCGAAATGTGACGCTGAACGAAACGAACTGTGATTGGTTGTTTGACATGTCA